AGAAATGGTCAATTTGTGCTGGAGCAACCAACGCATCCCATGGAAGAGTAAATGTAAAGGATATGGAAAATAGAATCATCATCATAGAATTCCCACAGTGTGGAAGCAGGCTATTCAGCCCATTGAGTCCAACACCAACCCTCGGAAAGGCATCCCACCCAGACTCACCTCCCTACCCTATCCCTGTAACCCTGAATTTCCCATGGCTAACCCACCTAGCCTGCACATCCCAACACTATGGGGCAATTTAGCATGGCCAATCCACCTAACCTTCACACCTTTGGACTAGGGGGTGGCATGGTGGTTCGGTGGTTAGCACTGCTGCCTCAGAGCGTCAGGGACCCGGGTTCGATTCCAGCCTCAGGCGACTGTGTGGAGTTTGCACATTCTCCCCATGTCTGTGTGGGTTTGCTCCAGATGATCCAGTTTCCTCTCCCACAGCCCAAAGATGTGCAGGTTGGGTCGATTGGCCATATTAATAGCCATGGGAAATGCAGGGACAGGGTGGGATGATGTTCAGAGGGTTGATGCAGAATCAAAATGTGGCAGACAATTTCTACAGGCACTCTATCATTGGCCACTCTGTATCTTCTCGTGTTGATAGAAGGACAACTGTTGATCAAGACCCTGGGGAGAACACTGCCTTTTCTTCAAAATGGTGCTCTGGGATCTTGCCTCTCCACCTGAGAGAGCAGACTACTTCTCCAGAGGTTGGTGCCTCCAACTGTGCAGTACTCCCTCAGCGCCCGACTGGAGAGTCAGCCTTGGATTTTGCACTCAGGTTCTGGGGAGTGGGCAGGAAGGTGGAAACTGAGGCTCAGATGGGATCAGTCATGATCGTGGTAAATGGTGGAGCAGGCTTTTGAGGGGCTGAATGGCCTACTTCCTGCTCCAGTTTATGTTCCAGGTTGTGAAACAGAATGTTTACACTCAGCAGCGAGAGTGGCACCAACTGTGTAATAATTACTATGTTAATTAATTCTTAACTATTCTAAATTGAGCTGTTTGCTACCCACAATTTTCTTGTGAATAAAGCTTGGGGTTTTTCTGACTGAAGACGCTGAGGTTCAAGAGTGAGGTGGGTTCTGCCTGGTTTGATAGAGCGAACGAAAACAATGAGGCAAGTCAGGTTAAGCAACTCCTGGTGGAGACACAAGCCTGACCACGTAACAGTGGTGAGTCATGGCATGGTGCCAGCTGACAAAAGTCCTGGTCCCAGCATCTTGGATCACAGCGTGTATCCAAGTGGTTCTGTTCAGATTCGGGTAAATATAACTAAGAGAAGGTTCAGCCGCAGCAATTTGCTTAAACATGAATGTTTATTAAGTAAGAATAATGATTATGACAGCAATAATAAATGATTATGGTGGTAATTATAAATGGAAGAGGAAAATGGAAACAAAACAAGTCTCACATCCCTCTGCCCTTCGAGGACCCCCTCGATCGATGGCTGGTCTGGAGGCTGAGATTCATTCCTGACACTGTTCACAATCCCGGTCTGAGGTGAAGTCCAACAGCCTTGGAACGAAACTCTCTCTCTCTCATACAGTTTCACAAACAGCCAGTACAGAAAACAACAAATACAACAAGCAAAACACAGCTACAGAGAAACAAGTTGCAGGTGCCGTCTTTGGTCCATAGAGGAATGTTAATATCCAAGGTCAGGCAGCTTGTCGAGTATCATCAACAATTTTAGCCGTTCAGCCCATCCTTTACAAGCTGTCTTCTCATGCAGCTGTCAAATATCATCATTAAGTTTCAGTCTTTCCTATTGTCCCAGCGAGATGGTGGGATGTTCTGATGGTGGCCGTGGTTGACAGATCAGTGGTGGGATCAACAACAGGAATTCATGTACTGGGGACCTGGGCATGGCTAAGTGACTAGCTTGAAGCTTTCACCAACAGCTGGGATCCAAAGGATTACACTCACGTTATTGACCATGATTGTCCAGTTGCTATTTTCCCCACTGACCGTAAGACATAGGTGCAGAATTAGGCCTTTCGACCCATAGAGTCTGCATCACCATTTGATCATGGCTGATTTGCTTCTCAACCTCCGTTCTCCTTCGTTATCCCTGTAATCCTTGATCCCCTCTCTAGCCAAGAGTCTAACCATCTCTGTCTTAAAGGCACTCAATGACATGGCCTCCACAGCCCTCAGTAGTAACGATCTACAGATTAATCACTTACTGGCTAAGGAAATCCCTTCTCAGCTCAGTTCATTGCTGATGTGTCTATTTAATAAAGCAAAGCAAAATATTACTGATGCTGGAAGTCTGAAATAACATGAGTTCTGAAGGTGAGTCATACCAGACACGAGACATTAACTTAGTTTCTTTCTCCGTGGAGGCGATAGGACCTGCTGAGTTTCACCAGTACTCTCTGTTTGAATGTCTGTCTCATTATCCTGGCTGGTTGCTCACGGATTACTGGCTCCTGGGATTTATCCAAGAATTCTCTACCCAGACGGCATAAAGTTAAAAGCAATATTGTTCCTGCACCAGCTGATATCAAACCTGCAGCAATTGGCTGAGGTGACTAGACTGGCAAGATATCCAGTTTACAGTGAGTCCACTGCTTCCAGACCTTCAGAACATCTCATTTTCATAGTTCTGAAGCAGTCAGGTTCTTTGCTAACTGATTGCATGACCCCTTCCTCTGCCCTCTTCTCCCTTCTCCAACATTTTCCACTATTTTCATTAAGGGAAAGAAAATGACAGCAAAAAGCTAAGCATCTTTTCAATGTAGTTCTGCTCTGGGACTGCTCTCTGCACTCGCCAGGGCAACAATCTATTCCATCTCTGAAGAGTTAGAAGAGCGATAACTGCAGGCCTTGGGATATGGGCAAATTTTGACCCTAGCTCTTAGGAATCCCTTAGGTTTTCACCCACACAGTGAGTAGGTTCCAGCCAGAATCCCCAAACCTGTGTTTTAAATCAGAAAAACCTGGAAGTATATTTATGAAAACATTGCAAGTCGCAAACCATGAATGATTCAATTAGAATAGTTAAGAATTAGTTGCTATATCGATACAATTAACATGCATATAATAATTAATTAACATTGAGTTCACTGTTGCTCAATAGCAAATAACTTCTGGAACTCTGAAAATAAAAGAGACATCCTTTTCATCTCATGCTCTTCAGGACAATCTCAAATGGAGCAATAATTTATACTATGTGAGAAAAGCAAGTGGTGGATGCAGGTATAATTACAACTTTTAAAAGCCATTTGGATAAGCTCATGAATAGGAAGGGTTTGGAGGGATATGGGCCAATTGGGACTCGTTTAGTTTGGGATTATGGTCGGTGTGGATTAGTTGGATTGAAGGGTCTGTTTCCGGACTCTATAAGACGATGCTGATTGGTTGACAATCAGTCAATTGGTGGAGGTGTTGCCATGGGGAACACAGCAGGGATCAGTTAACTGCCAGGGTTTTGTTTAAATTCAAAGCAGGGCTGTCATCTCTCAATATATTGATAAGAGTACAACACAGAAACAGGCCACTTGGTCCATCTCGTCCATGCTGACCAGATATCCTAAATTAATCCAGTCCCATTTGCCAGCATTTGGCCCATATCCCTCTAAATCATTCCTATTCATATACCCATCCACATGCCTTTTAAATGTTGTAACTGTACCAGCCTCCACCACTTCCTCTGGCAGCTCATTCCATACACGTACCACTTCCTTACTGAAAAAGTTGCCTCTCTCAGGTCCCATTAAATCTTTCCCCTCTCAGCTTAAACCTGTGCCCTCTGGTTTTGGACTTCCTTACCTTTGGGAAAAGACCTTGGCTATTCACCCTATCCTGCCCCTCTTGACTTTATAAACATCTCTAAGGCCACCCCTCAGCTTCCAGAGCTCTGGGAAAATAGCCCCAGCCTATTAAGACTCTCCCTATAACTCAAACCATCCAACCCTGGCAACTTCATTGTAAATCTTTTCTCAACCCTTTCAAGTTTGATAACATCCTTCCTACAGCAGTGAGACCAGAATTGAAAACAGTATTCCAAAAGTTTTTCTTTATTCACTTGTGGGATGTGGGAGTCACTGGCTGGGCCAGCATTTATTGCCTGTCCCTAGTTGCCCCTTGAGAAAGTGTCCTAACCAACGTCCTGTACAGCCACAACATGACCTCCCAACTCCTACAGTCAATGCACTGACCAATAAAGGCCAAGTTATGGCCAGGGGGAATGCACAAGGGAATATGAGACAAAATGCTTCGATAGTATGTCTTTCTCAACGATAATCTTTAACTCCTATCAATCACTCCAGGAATGCATACTGTTGAAAATGACTGAGATCAGTTTCTCACGCACTGTGTATCCTGTGCTTGCTGGAGATTCACTTCTGTTTTTATTGGTGAAATTTGCAGTGCTTTCACAAATGAATCCTGTTTGATGTGGCCACTCCGCAGCTAGACTCTGCAAACTGTTTGCTGCAGCTCACTGTTTAAACAGAGATAGTAGGAACTGCAGATGCTGGAGAATCCGAGACA